AAGATAGAATATAGAGGGAAAATCAGAAGGCCAAGAACTAGGCTTTCAAAGGCCCCCAGTTTATTGCCATGTGAAGGAACATTTGCCTAAAATGAAAATAAGGAGAGGGGGAAAACACCCAGAAAAGTGTAGAGTCATGGGATCCAAGGAATAAAAAGTATCTTAACAGAGAGGCGAGAAGGTGTGAATTTTGAATCAGCTGTTGGACTTAGGAAAATGGAGACCCACAGTGATCTTAGCTGGGACTGTTTGGTGGTATAGAGGGAGCAGCAGCCAAAGTAGAACAGGCAGAGGAGGCAGTGGGAGGTGAAGATGGAGTAGACTCTGGAGGGATGGATTATTTATTGAGTGGACACTGATGAGGCATTGATACAGTATTTTATACAGTGGGAGAGACTAAAGCATCTTAAGTGTTGCTAGAAAGAGCCTAGCTCTAAGAGAGGTATCAAATATACAAGACAGAAGAGAAATAATAAATAAAGTTTCCTGAGAAGGGCATGCTATATTTTGACAGTGTAACACAATTCAGCTGTTAAAACTTCATAAATATTATTAGCTGTATCATATCAGATTGTGAAAAATTACTGGTAATCTTAACTTTCTAATATAGATTATTATATTTTATGAAATATTTTTTCTGTGTTTGACACCATTTATTACCTTTGAATGCAATGGATTACGGTAATAGTTTCTGAGTTTATATCACAACTGCATTTTCTAGATAAATCACATTGTATTATGAGACATATACTACTGATTCTATTTACATTAGTTCCATCTGTACCCATGTTCATACATTAATTTCTCCGCATTTGTCTTTTCTTGTATTCTTGGACAAGTTTGTGTGCCAATGTTATACTGGTGTCTCAAATGAGATAGAATTTGTTCATTTTCTGAAATAGCTTGTGTAATAGAGAGTTTATCTCTTTTAGAATGGCACAATTGTAAAACCATCTGGGTCTGCTGTATTGGGATGGGACACTGGTAGGGATATACTTGTGATGACATTTCATGGTTGATTCATTTTCTGGAGTGGCTGTTGTTTTCTTGAGACAATCTTGATTCCTACTTGTTTACTAAAAATATTATTTATTCGGTTTTGAATATTTTGCATAAAGTTATTCATATTATTCTCTTATTACTCTTCATTTCTATCTTTAGATATGTTCCCTTTTCTTTTCTAAAATTGTGTATTTGTGCACCCTCTGTGGAAATTTGCTGATTTCATTAATCTTCTTAAAGATCTTGTCATGATTGCAAATATGAGGACAACAGAAGCACACAACAGCAAAGGGGCTTGGAAATCATACTCCGATTGGCAGTAGAGCCAGGTCTCCTGATGCCCAGATTATGAACTCCCCCTTGGACTTGCTGCCTTGCTCTAGCATACTACCCTAATTCACTTAAACTTATGCTGAGGCAAACAAAGTTTTTACTTGGTTATGTGTGGGTAGAAAAAGCTGCAGTGTGGCACTAAGTGCAAGTGTAAGCAGATTGGAAGCAATGATTCCTCACCCTGCACTGAACCCCACAAAGAGTCCCCAGTGTTTCGTGAACAAAACCAAGTAACAAACAGACTCCCACCAACAACAGTTGTCATCCATCAATACCAAGCCACACCCATGGAACATAAATGTGAAGGCAAATATGGGGTTCAGAATGTTGCCTCATATTGGAAAGAAGAATATGCTCATTAAATTTCTAGATGTGCTTTTAAACCATTGAGTTTTGCTAGGCTTCAGATGTACCTTCAATTCAGTGGACCTAATTTTTTTTAAAACATTTTAATGTAAAGAGTGTTTCTTTAAAACACTTTAACTTAAGAGAAAAAATGTGATAGATTCACTTACAGTGAAAGACAGTGAAATGTCTCTTGTGATGGCAAGCAATAGCAAATAATTAAGAAAAATGCCTCTGACTTCTTTCTGTAATTTGCAATCCTTTCCAGCAAGAGACATTTATTCATTAAAGTTCTCAAGAGGAATTCTCACTGTGAGAAAATGACAATGCTATTTATTTAGCCCAAATGGAAAATATCCATAAAATTTTCTTCTCTTTATCTGCCACATTCAATTTGACAGTAATGTTTATAAATATAAATGATATCTGCTCCACAGATCTTAGCATACATCTGTAATCTTGAAAATAGTAACACTCTTAGAACCTAGATTGCCCAAAATAGCCACATAATTTAACATTACCTGGTTCATTCAACATGTCCAAGATTGAATGCATTCTTTTCCCAAGCAAAATGGCCACAAAACTTCTCTGTGTTTCTACAGTAGTGACTGCTGGTTATCTATCCAGTAGCTGTTTAGTTCTTCTCACATCGAATCAGAACCTTCATTTTATTTTAGGGTGGTCAGAGGCCTGGATAAAAACTGCATTGACCAAACACTCTTGTAGCTAGTTAGGGTCATGTGAATACTTCTAGGTGATGTAATATAAGCCTAAGTATGCAGGTGAGGTTGCCAGGGAAGCTCTTGAAATAGATGTGCTATTATCCCCTTAGTCCAATTTTTCTTTTATTTCAGCTTTGAATATTGTGATAACTAGAGATCTAGCAGCCATTCTGGAATGTAAGAGAAATTCTAAAAACGAGACACCTGGGTTCTTTATGTCTACAGGAACCACTATTTTAGCTATCGCTCTCCAACATAACAAGCAAGCATCCACTGCTCATTAAGTATTTTCCATTTGCTCTGATATTCTTAGGCTCAGATGTCATTTCCCCCATTCCTCATCTGCAAAGACCCATGCAGGTGGTAACTTCTCACGAAGTTTGTTCCCACATCCTCCGTGAGAGCGAATCATTCCGACCCCATGTCAGGGAGTACTCCTTGCTTGTAGCTCTCAGCTTGCCATCTCCACCTGCTTGAGTGCTCCTCAAGGACAATGACTGTGGCTCTGCTATTGATTAGTCCACCACCCCATGTTTATAGTACCCACCACCTACTTATGTGCATGGAATGAGATCAAAAGTGTTAGTTGAAGGAATGAATGTGTGTTTGAGTGTGCATACATGTGAATATGTGCATATGTTTGCTTGTATATGCATGATGTATGCATATGTATGTCTGTGTGTATGTGTGAAAGGGCTTTGAATTATTCAAGTGTGTGAAATTGAGTTGTAACAAGTTATCAAAAAAATTCACTGAGCTGAAATAATGCAGCAGGCCAAAGCAAAAGCCAAAGGAGAAACATAGTCAACCCAGTTTGAAAATGTAAAGTGTCTGTAACTCCTACATAGGCAGAAACATTTGTGATTGTGCTAATATTCATGTCACTCTCATTAACACTAATAGTGTGCCTATGGGGGGAGGTTGCAGGGTGTGTATGGGACTGTGTATTTTCTAAGATATTTTGTAAGATGTCATGTTGAGCTATTTTTCAATTCAATGCTTATTAAACAAAACTACCTATGACCCTAAGCCACCTAGTCTTTACTATGCTAAAAATACACTTTATATTTGCTTTTTACTATCTTGATTTTGCGTGAAAGCTTTAATACATCAACTGTTTAAATATCGGAGTAAAGATAATCTATATAGTAAATGCTAGATTACTAGAACTGAGATAATCACTGTTGTTTGTGTTTCATAAAGTACTCTACTCAGAATGATTTCAAAAGCAGGTAGTCTGTTTAAAAGTCTCAGTTGTGTGACCTTAAGCCCAAAGGTCTTAAGACAAATGTTTAACTCCAAAGGCATAAAATACCTGCATGACTTATAAATGCAATGACATTTTCAACATTAACATAAGATTTGACCTTTTGTATCCAGTCTTCTGGGATGTGGTGTTTTAGCATGTTGGGTTCCTCTTTCTTTCTGTTTATCGTTCAAAGGCATACCTTGAAGCATAAACTTCAAGAATACAGCAGTTCAAAAACCAGGAAAGAACCCCTAAGAGCAGAATATAGCAGAGCAAAACTCAATTAAATTTTAACCTTTCAAACTTTAAAAGATTTGGAGTAGCTTCATTTCCTGCTTACCTAAATTAAATTGGATCCCTAAAGACACAAATAAAGATACAAGAAAATACATTGGCAAAAGCACAATTACATTCCAAAAATCGCGTTAAATTAAAGCACATTTCATGTATTCACTGCAGTTTAAACAAGTTCATGTTTCACAAATTGGTATTTATTAATTCAACAGTCATAAAAAGATTACATATTTCCTTTTGACAACTAGACTATGTTAGAATTAGAGAATAAATCATACGGCCATAAACTGTAATTTATTTAAGGAAATGTAATTCATGTGATACAGGAGAATCAAAATTGCTCACAACAAAGCTATCTGTGATTGTCTTAATCCTTACCATTTAAAAAATATCTCTTATATAGAATGATATTTAGGAAATAGAGATTTAATGAAATCTTGCTTTAGTAATGAAATCTCATAAGGAAGTATATGCCTTTGATCACAAGCTGCTGGTACTCAATGTTAGTGTTGAAAAAGGCCAAATTTTAAAATAAGGTTAATGTGATTTTCTATTGAGGATTCAGAAAAATGTTGTTAAAAGATTGTTGAGAAATGTCTGAACTCAGAAATGTCTGACTGGAAACTATTTCAGTAGTGGATTGAATTTATGCATTTTACTAACTATAGGATGAAAAATATCAGACGTATATAGCCTTTAAGAGCCATATCTGAGCACTCTCTATCTGACAATGCTTTGAAGACAACAATTCTGAGAATGACATAATTTTTACAAAACTTTTAAAAATATATTTTAAAATAAACTATGGCCGGGCGCGTTGGCTCACGCCTGTAATCCCAACACTTTGGGAGGCGGAGGCGGGTGGATCACAAGGTCAGGACATGGAGACCATCCTGGCTAATATGGTGAAACCCCGTCTCTACTAAAAATACAAAAAATTAGCCGGGCATGGTGATGTGCGCCCGTAGTCCCAGCTGCTGGGGAGGCTGAGGCAGGAGAATGGTGTGAACCCGGGAGGCGGAACTTGCAGTGAGCTGAGATCGCGCCACTGCACTCCAGCCTGGGAGAGACAGCAAGACTCCATCTCAAAAAAAAAAAGAAAAAGACTACATACTATGCTTATTTTGCTTGTATAACTAGGAAGTAAAAAGATATTCCCTTAAATCATTGGTTCTTAAACTGGAATCTGCTTGTTTAAGTCCCAGAATTTGAGATTCACTAGGTCTGGAGTGGATCCTGATAATGTACATTTCTTGCAAGCTCCCAGAAGATGGCAATGCAGCTAATATGGGGACCACTACGCTTTGAAAAACACTGACTTAGAGTAACAAAAACCAGTAATTATTCATCCAAATTAAGAAAAAGAAAATGTATCTACATTTTGTTTATCTACCTTCATAAATTATAACCTGGGAGATTCTGGTAGAACTGCTGTAATTGATACAAAGCAACTAGTTCAATTTAATTAATTTTGCTAAAGTGTATACTAAAAGAGCTTTTCAAATCCTATTTTTTTAAAAAGACAACTTTTATATGTAAAAAATTGGTGATTCTTTCATATCATACCATATAATGTCATCAGTATTAGTGAAAGCTTACATTAAAATCATTAAAAACATGTAGGGGGGCTCAGTTTTCTTAACAGAAAAGTGACATGTTTAGAGTGGACAATCTGTGACAGCCTTTCCACCTCCAGAATGTCTCAGTTTGGACACTGTCAAATCATTCATGCCTTTGTCACAAAGAAGCTGGTGTCCATCTGGCATGGTAAAAAGAACAAATGTCTTGGAGGAGCGCCCCAAAAGTCTGCAGAAAGAACAACCTTTCCATTTGGTGGTTATTAGCTAACAAGGAGATTCAAAATAGAAAATGAACAAGAGAATGTAATCTGACTGCCTGGAGAGTGTGCCCCAGCTCCTTGGTTGTGCGCATGCTTGTTTTATCCTTGACTGTTAATTGTAATGAAAGACAAGGTTTTATTCCTTACGGAAACTTCTTTAGTGATCAGACGGGCAAGTGATATGTGTGGTGACTGTCAGTGGATGGATCAAGAGTAGATTGTAGAGTTTGCTGCTGCTCAGAAGCAAAATTAATAAATACCTGAAAAAAACCATAAAAATGTTTTTTACTTATAATACTAACTTTTGGTCTCACTTACTAGAAAGGAGACATTGTCTCAGAACACTGGCCAACTTGTCCTAAAAACCACAGATCATTAATTCACACCACTCCCTCCCAAATCACATAAATATATAAATCCATTGAGGACACAACTCTAAGAACGTTCATATTTCTAGATAATTATAATAATAAATCACCTAGAAGTTCTCAATACTGTAAGCCTGGCTTTAGAAAGATGTTGTGATGTATTTTTATATTTCTGGTACTCTTGGTAAATGAAATGCTTTTTGTCTCCCCAGAAGTTAGCTATCATTTGATTACAGTGGAGCTGCCCCGACAAGTCTTGTGGGGGTGAGTAAGATGGAGAAAGGAAGGTTAACGTGACATGATTTAATTAGTTGAATGCCCAACATAATCATGAACAAACTGAAACTCTACTGAATATCTATCTTAAGTAGAAGGGTATACAATAAACAAACTTTCTGACACCATCCTTATCCTAACTTTATAAAATTTAAAAAGATGAAATGAATAAAGTGGTGAATTGAAGCAATTCAATTAATTTTAAAATTGGCTAGATTAGGTCTGATGAACAGACCAAAATGCAACCTCCTGAATCATTCAAGATACTATACCTGCTCCAAAGTGGTTTGGTTAATGGTATAATGCTTAATATTCAAGAAGGTTTTATTGTTCTCTATAACTTTGAACAAGTCAGCTAGGCATCCCCATCTTTTTGGCACATGATATTCTAACAAATTCAGGTGCTGTCCCTAAAAGCAAAAGAAAAAAAAAAGTATCATATAATTAGCATTATTAAACAAAATTGATCATACTACATTTAATTGGCAAATAAATTCAGTTATGTTTTCTCAACCTACACAAATAATTTTGTGAGTCTCCAATGGATGCCTATTGATGACAATTTTTCATAGGGTATATTTGACAAATGACATTCAACTGAGTGGCATTGCTGTTCTGCCCCCTGATATGCCCCAACCTTGCAATAGCATGGGGAAGCCCTGTTTAAGGAATCATAAGATGCCCAAAGATATTTGAAATGTAGTGATTTAACATGGCCTAAGAGAGATGGATGGAGGAGCCCTGAGTTTTACACTGAGACTTGGGCTAGTCTCTCACTGTTCTCATCATTAGCTGAGCAACTCTTGGGAAGACATTTAAACCTCTGATCTTTGTCTTCATGTATGCCAATGGAGATAATTATATCTGTTTTATAGAGTAGCTTAGAGTCATAATTGAGCATGAATGACAGTCTCACACAGCATGCTTCTGCCATAGTAGGATTTCACTAAATGACAGTTGTTGAAATAAATAGAACATAACTACTTTATGGACTACAACCTGCTAGAAGTTATAATAAACCAGCATCCGGCAGTTATCCAAGAGATTTTTAGACAGTGCTTCTCAAACTTTAGTGTTCATAGGAATCGCCGGGTCACCTTGTTAAAATGCAGATTCCCATTCAACAGGTTGGGGCCTGTGATTCTGCACGTCTAAGAGGTCCCAGGTAATGAAGATGCTGCTGGCTCAGTGACCATACTTGATGATAGCAAGTTCGTAGAGGATTGTGATCTCAAGCACAGGGCTTTTTCTGTGAAGCAATGCGGAAACCATCAAGCCTATAAACCCTACAGCAAATATATGGAAGAGATTAGCTTTTGCAATCTTCTATGCTGAAGAAGATGAGCTATGCAGTGGACTTAGGCCCACAGATAAGAGGCGTGATATGTAATCACAGGCTGCTCTGGCCAATCCAGCAAGCAATTAAGCAGACTTGTCACTCTTCAGAGTGGTCAAGCAATATCAGCTATCCATGCTATTTTTGGTAGGGAGGCAGGGTCTATACTTTGCAATGTGACTAAGGTAACAAGTAGTATCTTATAACAGCATAGAATAAAAACAGAAAAAGACAGGTACGTTTATTAGCTTTTTTAGCTGAAAACAAAGAAATAATACAGGATATTAGCACTACCTTGAACTGAATTCCTGGAAAATAAAGCTTCAAGTGATCAGAAACAGTGCAATGTTGATTTGCTTCCTTACAGAGCCAAACTTTGACTGTATAACCATCACCAAACCTGAGAGTTAAATAAAATAAAAACAAGATTATTATGATATTGACCTAAGACGAGTAAATTCTAAGTCCATTTTCACACAGAGGCAGAAAAAGGAAGTAACTACTCCAAATTGTTGAGAGTTTGGATTCTCAATATAAGACACAGAAATTAATAGTTAAGTCAATTACACAGTAATACAATAAAAGAGGAAAGGTGAAAACGCAAACGGTGAAAGCAAAGTCCTGAGTTAGTGGAAGTGGGAAGCTGGGCTGGAAACTGGCCCCGGGAAGCATGATTGTTGGCCTTATTGCTTCAAGGTCTGTACTGATTAAAATTTGGCAGGGAAAAGATGAAAGGGATTGCATATGTAATTACCAGGCACTTGTTTGTTTGTTACATAAAAAAGTTACCACAATTATACTTCAACCCAGCCTAGGTGGACAGGCCCTATGACTGCAAAGGAAGTCTCCTGCATAAGGGGCTCTGTTCCTCACACTGTAGAGTTATAGACAGTAGTTCCACTGGTGTCCCATCAACAAGACATGAGCTCATACTCACACCCTAAGGTAACCTCAAATAGCAATTTCCAGTAATGTAGGAGTTCTCCAAAAACTATATGAATTATTCTACTCCCTTATCTCATGTGGTGTTGGGCACGTCATAGCATCCCAATAAAAATCTGTTCAATAAAAGACAAATACATGAATATACTCTGATGACTAAAATCTCTGTCCATTTTGTTCACTGAAGCATCTTTTCTAAGTACCAAGCACAGTATGAGTACGTAGTACCTAGCACTGGTAAATATTAGTTTAATGAGTGAAGAATGAACAAATGGCATGCCCAGTCTTAGTAATCGTAGTCATCTCATTTACAAAGCATTGCTGGGGAAAAACGTGTTACACTTAAGTAAATTTTCCCTAAATGAGGCTGATCCCTAATAGATTTATGGTCAAATTATTTTTCAAGTCTATCTGTTTAAGACAGGGGACCCAAGACAATGTGACCTTGTGTCAGTGACATAGATGACCCTTGTGAGCACCGATGGAGCTCTTTGCCCTGGGGTTCTGTTTTCCTGTCCTCCTGCCTTAATTTCAGGCTGTCAGATGTCACTTCCCCATGAGGTCTGGGCATGGCCACAGTAGCCTCCCATCATTCCAGTTGATGGTTTCTAATCTTCACATGGCTGAGAGGTTAGTGAGGACACTGATAAAATATACATAAAAGCATACAGACAAGCACTTCTCTAACATTTCTATTTGGCTATCTCTCAGAATTGTTAAAGGCCAACACATTGAGTTGGTACAAGAGGTATATATTCTGTGGTCATCCCTCCTCTCAGCAGTATGTTATAAGCTATGCTGCTGAATAACACAGTCAACCCACTGTGTCTTCACCAAATCCCCCAAAGTGGGTGTATTTGTCAGTGTTTCATGAAAAGAAGGGATTGAGGCCCAGGTGGTTGAAGGGGCTTCCCAAGGTGAAGCACCATGTCACTGGAGCTTTGTAAATGCTCCTGGGAGAGCTCTCAGCGCTGTGTGGGCGTAATGTTGTGTTCCAGGGCAGAGGGGATGTGTTGCATGGAGATGTGTTTCTGATCTCATGTTTATTAATGATTCTGATGGCATGACAAAACGTAGTGTTTGCACTACTGAGGTTGAGTCCAGCTCCTCCACATACTAGTTGTGTGACCCTGGAAAGTCTGGTAAATGTTCTAACCTCAGTTGCCTCACCTAGCAAATAGATTAATTATAGTATCTGCCTAATAAGGTTGTGAGAGGACTGACTGAATTAATTCTTGCAAATTACTTGCAACAATGTCTGGCACTGTGTAAATAAGTAGATAAATAAGCAGTGAAATTTAGGATCTATTCAGAATATGACCAGAACAGAAGAATGTTCTTCTTGGAGTGAAGAAGCCTACTATTTAGGGAGAACTTAGATAAAAGCAGATAAAACAATTCAAACATGAATAGGAAGCACTAAATAAAAATACAATTGGTATGAGGAGACAGTGGCAGAGAGACGGCTGTATGTTCTCATGCATATTAGGATTCATTTTCACCATTAGTAGAAATTGCAGCCCTATGGGTGTATTTTGTTAATGAATTTTGAAAATTTCATGTTAATTTCCAATAATTATCTAATAAATTCTCTACAAGCACATATGCATATTAATAATTAAAATTCTTTCAAATTAAAGTTTCATTTGAACTAAAAGAATTCCAACTTTACTGGGAAGAATATGAATTACACAAAAAGAAAAATTACGCAAAAATTAAACAAAAAGTAAATGATACCATTCTTCCAAAATAGAAACACTCTAGAGAAAATATGCCTGAAATAGATAGGAAATAGTTTGAAATAGGTTACTCAGGATCTCTCTAAAACAGTTAACAGTTAAAAAGACTTCTAAACATAAAAATATGAAAGCATGGCACCTTCAACAACTTAGACACTCTTTGAAGATTATTAAATTCATTATGATGTAAATACCTAATTAATATTAGCTGGACTTTTTCATTTCTGTCTATAACATACACAGTTATGTCAATAATCGAAATTCCCTGAAGGATTTATTTGATTTACATACTTCCACAGAATGAAAGGTTGCAAAATAGCCAAGGAGTCATTTATTTCTATGTTCACTCATTGATCTAACATTTCTAGATAATACATTATGTCCACATTATTTGCATAATCGGTGATTAAACAGAGATAAATAAATAGGATTATCTGTAGGTAAAGATGCTTATAAGAAATATTCCACAATTTTTTGAGGTACAACATTTTGGAACCATAGACATTAAATGTAATGTATTAATTAATGCTAAAACAGAAGCAGGAGTAATACATGAGTGGAAGAAAAAACATACACACATATATTTTGAAAGTCAGACACTTCAAGAGCAGAACAAAAGAGGTGGCAATGCACCTGCAGAGACATTTCTGAAAAATCACTTGTCAAGTTGTACCAAGTGCCTATGAAGCTTTGCATTCCTGGGCTTAAGGCTCCTCTTATAAACCTCCTTCCCCCAAATTAAAAGTCATGATATATAACAAATACATTGATTTCAGCCTCATCTACTAAAAATCTCTACAAATAATACTTAATGAAGATTATATAATAGCTATTATATAACATTAAGTGAAAAATAGAAAATCATAGACTCAGTGTTACATTAATGATGGAAATATGTTTGCATATATTTACAGTCAGACTGAAATAAATTCGGGAATGTTATCTGGACAAGAAACAATCGTATGACTGTTAGGTTTTTTTTTCCTTATACTATTCTGAATTCTAAAATAATGAGCACATATAACTTTATCATTAGAAAGAAAAAATATACATGGCTTCTAAGAGAATTAAAGGAACATTCTAATGTCTCATATTCTACAACTGTATTTCAGTTTCTGATTTTAAAAATCATTTATTTAGGAACTTTTTGTCACATTGCCTCTAAAAATTAAATACATAAAATTCTTTTTGGTATAGAAGCTAATCTTAGACTTTAGAAAATAACAGGATTCGTGAAATACGTAATATTTGTATTATGTGTTTATAGATATATGCCCACTGATTTCCATCATCTGCCCCATGAGGAGTCTATTCACACTCACATCCACAACCCCATACATGTGCCCTTCCCTACACATATCTGAGTAGAAATACCTTTAAAGACGACTTCTCCCTAATCCACCACAGGGCGAAGCAGAGAGCAGAGGGGGACCAGGACTCCTGTGGTCTCACGGTAAACTCTCATCCAGCACAAGTGTTACAGCACTGACTGTGGAATATGGGGCTCCCGCTGCCTCAGACTACATTGGTCCCTAATTCTCATCTTCCTGCCTCACCACACCACACCCCACTCCTCATGGGTTGGTGCCTCAACAAAGTACCAAATTCCAGTGATCTGTCCTCAGCTACTGAATTGTAATAGGTTGCCTTTGGATGAGGAAAGGAGAGGGTGGCACTGAGGAAGAATGGCTGAGCAAACAGCAGGATGCAAACATTTATGTGAGCACTTGATGTGTAGCTGGCATCTCTGTATTATTAATAGGAACTTCCTCATCGTAATCTCAGTCCTCATGATTACCCACTGGAAAGAAAAGGAAACCAAGAGAGAAGACTGAGGACATGTGCTCTGTCCTGCATCCTCTGTGAGCGAGGCACCAAACACATTATCCCAATTAATCCCCACAAAATACTGATGTTGCTATCTCTGCCTCTGATTTACAGAAGTGAGGTGGATCTCAGAGAAGCTACAGACTTGTTCTGGTCACGCAACTCCAAGGGAATGGAGGGAGTTACAGTTCCAATGCTGAGCACTTAACCTCAAAACTCCAGCCTGAAGCAGGATCTCATTTAATCATTAATGCTCTTACATCCTTTATATTAATACTTTCACATCAATAATTTCATTTTACTCTTATCACACCTGTACACGGACTGGAACAGATACCAGTTCCTCTCTATAAAATGCAAAAATTTGAGACCCAAAGAGATCAGGGGATTTTTTCTTTGTCACTCAGCTTATTAACTGGCAGAGCTGAGACCATGGGGCTTACTTCACAACCATGTCCCTTCACTGCAAGCACCTTTATTATTTCAACTTCAGTTAAGTTTGATTTGGATCATTTTTCAATCATTGTATATGCAAATCAGAATGGCTGTGAGGATTATAGACCCAAGGTATTAACATAAAGAGAGCCCTTGACAAATAACAACAACAAAAAAACAGTGTTTGGCAGCTGGCAACCACATTCCTCTTGGAGAAGAAACCCTCTTTGAAAAGAGCTTCAATATGCTTCTGAGTTTAAAGACAATACAGGGAGATGACACAGCTTCACAATAAAAAAAGAAGCTTGATTCATGCTAATATGCATCACTCCATAAACATTGCTCTCTGTGGCTGGATGTGTCACTTTCTTAAATGACTCCACCAGTTATAGATCCAGATTAAAGTGGTTGGGTCAATGTCACCTCTAGGAAAGGCCAACAGAACTGTTTCAGAACT